CCTTATTATTTATTTTAATAAGTCTGAAATTTCAAAAATAGTAACAAAAGTTATAAATTACCTAAAAGAGTGGTCTTATTCATTTATTTTAACAGAAATGAATTTTGAATTTTGAAAAAGAGTTGTCAATTGCTATACAACTATGATTAATAATTAATGAAGTGTGATGAATTGCTAAATAAAAATTTTAAATCACAAATGGTTAAAATTTATTAGTTAAGTTACACACACACACACACACACTCATATTAATTGAAGTTCAACACCCTAATTTGTCATTCTAAAAACTTCAACGTATTTTTCCCGAATTTTCTTAAAATTTTCAGAGTATTCTTCTGTTGGAAAATATTGGCGCCTGGCGGCAACCACAGTCTGACGAGTCAAAGGAGCGTTTGCGAAGAAAGTTCAGTGTGGGGATCTCAGATTCCACAAGGTGCATTTTCTTAATTAGTTAATTTAAATATCATAATTGATGTGAGAATTTTATTAATAGATAACTTATGATACCGTCGTGAGCATTCTCTGAGTTTATGAACAAGCATTAATTATGGGCCCATCCCAGTTATTATTTTTATTAGAACTTTAATGAGCCATCAAAGATTCAAAATTATCTTAATTGAGCCTAGTGAAAGGAATTAATCTCTCTCAACATGATGAACAAATATTTGAATTTCTATTAAAAGAAATGCTCACATTTAGTGTCTGACAACGTATCGAATAGAATTATAAGGCCAATATTTAATACTCAGTAATACCTTGAACAAGACTACTTACACTAGAGAAATAGGGGGGGATTATCTTACCTAAACTTTTCGTTTTTCAAAAAATAAAAGAGCCATTGTTTTTTTCATAAAGTCACTCCTAGCTATTTTTGTGGGCCCATCCCAAGATTGGGGTGAAAATTCAACTGATGCAATTTTTTTTTAATGCGTCACAATTAAGTACAAGTGATGGAAGAAAGTATGATAAGTAGTTAAATCGGTCAAAATAGGTTTCTAACTGAAAAGTGAATTCAAGTCGTATAAAAAGTCGAATAGTATTTTTCTTTTTCTTATTTTTGAATAATAGCCGAGTAATCATAAACTGAAAAATGAAGAATAAAATTTACAAGCTGGTTACACTTTTATATAAAAATTAAAGTTAGACGTAATGAAAATGGACTGTTCTATCTGTGTCTCCTATATGTATATATGCAAGAGAGCAGCAAACACTTTATGCAAGTCACAGAAAACTTTCCAACATGTTTCTGGGTACTACCATGTCTGTCTCGCGTTCTCAATTTCCTCCTTCGGCTTCTCCAGGTTTCATCTCTCTTTCTCTCTGTCTGCAGATAACTAAGTTTGCAATTATTTGGGTTTTTGAGTTGCTGATAATCATCATTTTCTTAGCTAGTTTAAGGTCCTCATGGCTTAGCTTTTGCTATGTTTGGATGGAAGGAAAAGTTGAAGGAAGAGGGAAGGAAAACTTTCAAAAATAGTGTGTGTGTGTGTGTGTATTATTTTAGGGAGTTTTCCCTCCAAATATTCTCTTCTTTCTAATTTTCTTCCTATCCAAACGTAGAGTTAATGTTTGATGCTATCTCAGAGTTTCTGAGTTCAATTATTGGTAGAGAGGTCACCAATCCTAATACTATTTTCACTTAAACAAATCTGACATCAGAGTTCTAATAAGATCTGATGTATTGGAATCCATGACATGTGAGAAAATCATTATCCTAAAACCAACTTGCGACACACTCAAATGTTGGTTTCCATGCTTATACCATTTCATGATTGCAATCATGGTTTAATATTCCTCATAATTTTTCATTTTGTAAATATTTTCGTGAAGAAAAGGTTACAGCCCATTTTGAAATACTTTTTATTGGGCATTTTTACAATTCATCTTAATATTTTGTGTGTGTGTGTATGTAATAAGTCATCATTATATTAAACTTATTAGAAGCACCGTATCATTATCTGTTAGCGATAAAAAAATGTGAATATCTTTAGTGATATAGTACTTATATGTTACTGTCGTTATTAAGATAATAATTAAATAGTTCCGCCGAATTCCTAACAAGTAATCTTTATTTAATATACTATCATTTATCATTAAAAGGGGAAGGCCAAATTTGTTTTGAGAAAAATAATAATTAAAAATTGAAGGAAAGTACAAGTACTGCTAAATGATTTTCTCCGATCCGAAGACAATTGGTTGGCTTATTTTTTACTTGTGCATCTCATCAATTGTTTTGGTGAATTTAATCTTCATGTAGTATTTATTTAACGTCGGAATCTTCAACTGATTTGGACTGTGTATGTATAAATACATCATTATAGGAAGCCTAACATCTCTCTTTGTTCTTTCATATCTCTCAGCAACTTCAGTTGGATCCATTGGTAAGGACAAAGTTCGCAACAGATCTAACATTGTAAGATATCAATCTTCCATTATTTCTCGTATCAACGTAGATCTGATTCCAATATGCCAATTAATTTAATATATATATATATATATATATCTATCATGGTGAGTTTTCTGAAATGCAGATGGAGATGCACATGTTAGAACAGAAGAAAGAGATAATAAAGAAGATGTTCCAAAAGGTTGAACTGTGTGTATCAAGTTATGACACAGCTTGGGTGGCAATGGTTCCATCACCACCTTGTCCACAATCTCCTTTGTTCCCCCAGTCTCTAAATTGGTTATTAGAAAATCAAAACATTGATGGATCATGGGGTCTTCTTGATGATCGCAATGAGTTATTATTAGCCAAAGACTCACTTCTATCAAGCTTGGCTTGTGTTCTTGCACTTAAGCGATGGAACGTTGGTCAACAGCAAATCAACAGAGGTATATATATTATTGATATAAAATTTTGAATCTTATAAAACCATCTCTCTGTTCCTTTTTTTTTTTTGGGTGTTGTCTGATTTATATATTTATAAGCTTTTCTCATTGTGTATAGTAAAATAATTGGATGTCTCCCGTGTTAATTGTTGAAGGACTTGGATATATAGAGTCAAAAATTGCTGCAGCTCACGACGATAAACAACATTCTCCAATCGGATTCGATATTATATTTTCTCATTTAATTGAGCAAGCCCAGAATATGGATTTTAATTGAAGTTAACTTGCTCTTAATTGTCGTTTTGGGGTTACTCCAAAAATTAACTGAATTAATGCAATATAGTGCAAAACTCGGGTCGTTTCACTTTGAGGAGCCAAAAACGAAATTAAACCCTAGTAAATAAATGCAAATAACCTAAACTATAAAAAGGATTTTTGATTTTGAGGAATTTCTAACTAAATGCCTTAAATTAAATTGAAGTTAAAATACTTTTTTTTGTTATTTTTTTTATGTAAGAATAATTGAAATAAATGAAGATGAAAGATTTGAAAACGAAACACATGAATATCAATGATAAAAATCAATTCTCCAATTCAACAATGCAGACAATCATCACTCTAAAAGATATGAGAGTTAAAACAATAAATTAAGAATTATAATTAAGCTTTTAATCCAACAACCGAGCCACCTCGAATTGTCACAAAATATTTTCCCAAAATCCTAATTTACTAACTGCAACCAGAATAGTAAAATAGAATTAAGGATGCTAAAAACCAATGCTTAATTAAAATTCTTAAATCCAAAACAATATAATTAAAGCTAGCAAGAGATAATATGATCCAAGATTCCAAGCCACCTTAGAAAATCACAATATATTAACTCCAAAATCAATACAAATATCATAACCACAACATCATAATTGAAATCAAAGCTATAAACAGCTCAATGTCAAATGCTAAATAATAATCCAGCCACAATGGTTTTCACAGATAATCAGATTTAACAATAAAAATTTTCTAATAATTAGAATAACTATCCTAGGACCTAGGAATTGTTAAACAACTATTAAACAAGAAATTAAAGTAACTAAAACTCCCTTTGAAGATTCAAGCTCCTGCCATTATTGTTGAATCAGAGAATTACAAAGCCTTGGCCACGATTAGTCATGGAGAATGCTGCCATATTCAATACTCTATTGCAAGCTTCCATGGAAGAATACTGTTCACGCTGGTTCTGTCGTGCCCAGGAGAAGAAGAAGGTGAAGGCGCCGTCGCTCGCTGGTCCCTCAGCTCGCTGGTCTTTGAATTTTTCTTCTGCCGCTAGCGCCTCCTCGCCCCCAAGCTCGCTCGGCGTCTCTGCTCTGTTGTGTATTCTTTGTGTGCCGCCTCCTCTGTTCCGCTTTCAGCTTCGCGTGTCCGCCTCCCTTCATTGAAGAAGAAGATTGTAATAATATATATTAGGGGTGGAGCAAAACGCAGCGTTTTGCTCCCCCCTTTTATTATTTTATTTTTTAATTTATTTTTTCTTTTCTTTTCTTTTTAATTTTTTTTTTATTTTCAAAATCTTCCACAAACCTGCAAGCAAAAATTCAAAGATAAGGTAGTATTAATTGTCCTAAAAAATCAATTAGTCACAATTAAACCAAAAAATGACAATTTTGCCCCTATAAAATAATAATTCAAAATAAAACAAATTAAATCCATTAACAATCAATTAAGGCCAAAAAGACTAATTAAGTTGACAAAACCCATATAAAAGATATCAAAATATATAAATATAATTGAGTTTGTCATTAATCTTCCTCTTAGAGGGAAAGGCTTAGAGACATTGACTCAAAAGAGAGAATTGGAGCTCAAAAGTACCATTATTAATAACTGGATATGTATAAGAAGTCTTCAGACACGTTCCTTTGTATTTTGATTTGAGAATCCGAAATAAAATCTCTAAATAATATTCTATTAATATGAAAGCAGTGGACGGGCAAGCAACACAGAAGGATGGAAAGCATATGTGGCATACATTTCAGAAGGACTTGGGAAGTCACAAAATTGGGAAATGGCTATGAAATTTCAGAGGAAAAATGGGTCTCTTTTTAACTCTCCAGCAGCCACTGCAGTTGCATACACTCATATTAACGATGCACAATGTCTTGATTATTTACTTTCTCTACTAGAAAAATTTGAAAATGCTGGTTCGTTCTTTCAAACTCACTTTAATTTGATATATTGCCCCCCTTGCTTGTGTTATATTAATTATTGGGTTTTACACTAACAATTGCTGCGCAAGAAATTTGCTCAGTTCCTGCAATATATCCTCTTGATGTGTATTCTCGACTCCACATGGTTGATAGTCTTGAAAAATTGGGCATTAATCGCCATTTTAAAGAGGAAATCGAAAGTGTACTGGATGATACATGGAGGTAATTCATCTTTAGTATCCATAATATATTGCTTATGTAGATAACAAGCTTCAAATTGAAGAAGGCTATAGAATCTAATTAATTTAGTCTTCTATTTGATTCTGAAACAGAATGTGGCAGCAAGAAGAAGATGACATAGTTTTAGAACCCACCACATGCGCCATGGCATTTCGTTTACTACGTTTGCATGGATATGATGTTTCTTCAGGTTTTTGTATTGTCATAACACTAAAATTCTGTGTATAGCTAAGAAAGGGATATAAAAGAGATGGCTCATAAATATATATTTGTGCATTTTCAGAAGCTCTTGATCGTTTTTCAGAGAACAATTTTTGGATTACCCTTCAGGGTTATCTCAAGGACGTGGAGGCTGCTTTGGAATTACATAAGGCTTCACAAATAGTTTTACGTTCAAATGATTTAGTTTTGAAAGAACTAAACTCTTGGACAGGAAACTTTCTTCATGAATATTCGTCCTCTTCTTCAACAAATACTCATAAACATTATAATCATATTGACCATGAGGTACGTACATATACACGTTATGGATGTATAGTATATCTCAAATTCGATTTTGGCCCTCAGAGTTTGTAACTAATAATAATTCGTATATGTAAATCTCAGGTGGCTTTTGTTTTGGGTTTTCCACATCATGCTTATTTGGATTTGATATTGAACCGAAGATGTATAGAACATTACAAGGTGGATCAAAAGAGAATTTTTAAATCTTCATTTAGGTACATCATAATATTACAACTTTATTTTAATTAATGCAAGATTTTTGAGTTAAATAGATTAGTCACTTTGGATTCTATGACTCTTCTTATTCAGTTCTTTGAGCCTCACAAGTAAAGAATTCCTGGAATTGGGAGTGGAAGACTTCAATCACCGCCAGTTGTTATTTCGTGAAGAACACGATTTGTTTAATAGGTTAGTAGGCTTTCTACAATACCCGAGGTTGATAATACACTGAAAATTTGAATGTTGCTTTTACATTACATTTAGGAATTTTATATAATTAATGATGGTTAATTAAGTCAAATAGAAGACATTTGATTATTTTTAAATAAGTTTAAGGAAAATTATTAATCTTTTAGTCCCTATATATATAGTTTTGACTCAATTATTACTTAGTCCCTACACACTTTAAATTGTATACAAAGTATATGAGATGAGCTTTATCTCAATTTGCCTGAAAGCACTTTTTAAAAATGCTTTTAGGAGAACCAAATACCCCTTTAGTCTCCATAGTTTCAACTTAATTATAATTTAGTTTATGAAAGTTGACTTATTGCAAGTGAGTCCCTAAAATTTTAATCATTTAAAATTTTATTCCCTATTAGTATATTTTCAAACTAAAAATGAGATTATATGTATTCATGAAACTTATGAACTAAAGTTTTAAGTGGTTAAAACTAGAGGGGCTATATTAAATTGTAGTAAGTCAAAGGTTAGAGATTGGGTTATAATAAGTCAAAACTATAGGGATTAAGTTATATTGACATAAAATCTAAAGACTGAATTACAATTAAGCAAAACCTACATGATCAAAAGATTAATTTTCCGCATGTTTGGATGAAAAATATCTTGTGAGCAGAACTATTCCAAATTGAACACGACAGCATTCAAATTTGATCCTGTAAAATCAGACATTAAATAACTGTACAAAAAAGTACTAATTAATTGTATATATAATGAAGAAATTAGCGTGTGGATATACATATAAATTTTAAAGCGCAAAGAGCATATCGTTTTAAACATATTCTCTAGTAAAAGCGTTGAATTTGTGTTAGCTAGCCTTTTCCTCCTAAGCTAACAATGCCAGTTCTTGAATCACTGATAGGCGTATATATATCATCATAATTAGGTGGCTTATGGAGAGTGAAATGGAGAAACTACATTTTCCAGTTTCAAAAACAAAAGCTGCCTATTGCTTCTTCACGGCTGCTACAACCCTCACTTCCCCCGAACTTCGTGATGCACGTCTGACGTGGGCAACACAAGGCTTTCTAATTTGTGTGGTCGATGATCTCTATGATGTTTGGGGTACTAAAGAGGAACAAATCAATCTCATACAATTGATGCAGGAGTACGACGCGCATTTATAATGAACTTACACACACACACACGCGTAGTTGTCTCTCTTTCTTCAAATTAAATATCTAAGACGAGATTATATATTCTGAACATTGAAACGCAGGTGGGATGTAAATGATGTCCACCAGAAAGTTGTTCTGAGACAGTGAAGCTAATATTCTTAGCACTAAAGGGAACGATTTGTGAGATTGCAGCCAAGGCATATAAAGTTCAAGGACGACGTGTGTTGAACCACTTGATTCAGATTGTAAGATCATAACTAGCTCAATCTCATCTTACTTTTCTAGAGATTAATTCCATTGAAGAACTATGTTTTTGTGTTTGTTAATCACATGAATATTGTTTAATTTTCAGTGGGTGGATTTGCTGCAGTCTTTTTTGAAAGAAGCAGAATGGCGCAGAAGCAAACGTGTGCCAAGTATAGAAGAATATGAGCGAAACGGAATTATATCAATGGCCCTGGGACCAACTCTCATCCCTTTACTGTATCTTATTGGACCCAAGCTTCCTCAGGCTGTAATTGAAAGTGATGAATATAATTGCCTTTTTGAGGTTGCCAGTCTCTATGGGCGATACCTCAATGATATTAATGGCTACCAGGTTTCCTTCTTCTCTTTGAATTGTTTTTCCTCTGAAATTCTTGAGTTGGAACTCAGTAAGTGAATGGGATTGTGTATATATATATATATATGTCTCTGCAGAGGGAAAAAGAACAAGGGAAATTGGTGAACTCAGTAACCTTGCGCTTGATTCATGGGTGTGGGGCACAAAGTGAAGAAGAGATCATAAAGAAGATAAAGAGTAAGATTGATAAGATGAGAAAAGAGATCCTGAGATTAGTGTTGCTGAAAGAAGGAAGTGTAATTCCAGGAGATATTAAAGATGTGTACTGGAAAATGTGCAGATCACTTCACTTCACTTACAATAAGAAGGATGATGTGGTTCATGCAAAGAAGATGCCTAACGAGATGCTAAACATCGAAGACATAGTTCTCAATAATCCCATCATCTTGAATTCATAAATCACGTAGCTAGCATTTCAATAGGGTCTATGGGAATTGTTCCTATCTATCTGTTATCACGCTTAAGTCTTAACCTCATGTCTTCAGCAAATGAAGAATGATTCGGAGATTATTAGCATGCACCATATCCATATTGTAAAAGATGAAGTTAAGAAGATAAAAAATTCATCAGCATTAGTACTTTTACTATCAAAGTGTACTGTGATAGGCTCAAAATTGTGTAAACCTATGATTATGCAAGTATATATACAGGTCATGTCAAGTATCAGTGATAAATAGATTATTGTTTCTATAAGAAGACTAGTGTAATGATCGATCTCATATGTGTAAGTGTGTGTGTGTGTGTGTGTGTGTGTCTCAAGACAGAAGGCAAATGAACTGAAAATACAGCCATGGTCTTATATTTCAAATACTCGAGCAAATATGGCAGTGTCTGTAACAAGGACATTGTTCAGAATAGAGATTTCCCAGAATAGGATATAGGAGATAGAAATGGCGAAAATAAGAAAAAAGAAAGACGAAAGCAGAGGAAAATTCAATCAGAGGGAATGTCACATAGGTCCCATTTGGTAAGAAACATTGAAAATCATGGGTAAGGATTATAATTGTGATTGAAAAAAATTTAGTACGAGGATTAATTGTCACTTAAAATTGGTTAAACCCACATAGGTGGAATAGAGGAATACTGTGGGAGAAATCTTAAGCAACAAGCAATCCCTTCATATTAAACACTTTTAATGAGTTTTTTTTTATCTCGATCTTAATCATTACTTCTCATTTTTAATACTTCATACTAAACTAGACTATAATTCCTTCCACCCCTTCTGTAACCAATCTCGTCCTTATAATACTGTCTTAGTGGATCCTTTCTCACCTTGCCATCCTAGCCTTGGCTTGGGTTCTCTTTTGGGCCCCCATCTGAGCCCAATTCTCCTGGGATCATGACAACTTTTTATCAACAATTTCTTTGTGGTTACCAACATAGATTGGGTTTAATAGAAGGGATTTATTTTTCACAACAGCATTACGAATCAATATTTGAATCCTTGTTGAGAGAAGTACTCATATTTAGTACCCAATAATGTCTTGAATAAAATTGTCTCTAATAATAAGATACCTATAATTGGGGGAAAAACTTCCACCTAAGTCATAATCAATGGTTGGATACGTCTAAGAGTCCAATTTTCTACAGTTCTTGTTGAATTCATGCTCTCAGGTTTGCTCTACCATGCTTTGAATGGAAAATTCCAAATGGACTAGGACAAAATAGCTTAATTTTGTCCTAGCATGAGAGAAGAAAAGTCGACCTTTGCTTGATAGACGACCGAGACTTTTATATATAATTAAATACAGTTGAGCGATTCCCAGTAATATCTAACTTTTATTTTCATATTTAATTAATATGTTTAATTATATCCAATATTTTAATTATTTCAAATTCTTGAAATGGGCTGAGAAAGCATCGTAATATATAAAAAAAAAAGATATTTTAGTAATAAACCCTAATTGGTTCTGATAAAAACTGTTGTCTAAAACTTCCCGCGCTAGTTATGACTGAAATAAGGTAAAAATATTTTTAATCGAATAATTCTGATTTAAGCTGCGCCGAATTCCAAATGAAAGAAAGTTCTAGGAATTTAATTGATAAAAATTAAACTTCATGAACCGAATTGATAACTCACGAAGACTTGAAGTGCCAAAAGTTTTATTAGTGCATGCCGAAGACTTGGAGCACCAAAACTTTGTGAACCGAGTTGATAACTAACCGAATTCTGCTTTCCTTTGTTATCAAGATGTTGAGTGCCCTGTTTCGATTAGTGCATGCCTTTTGATTAGATTAAATTAATCAATCTTCAAGACGAGTATCACTCCATTCAATTCAATTCTAAGTATGAAAATTAGTTATAGATTTTATTTTGATCTTAAATATAATATTTTAATTTTATTTGTCTCTCATTTTTTTTTCAAACTGTCATTTTATTTAGATTCTTGTATGATATATAAACTATACTGAACAAATATTTTAGAAAAATTAACATATATTTTTACAAATAAATAATTTATATATATTCTTAATATGTATTAGTTAACTAATTTCTATATTTAAAATTGCAGAGAGTACATCATTATCATTACGGAAACTTATCGTTTTGTCTTTATACTTTCAGTAACTTGCGATAGACCTGGACCCAATACAAAGGACAAAGTTGATGGCGGATCTAACATTAATGTAACATATTATCCTTCTATTTCATGCATCTCTATCTAGAATTAAGTCCAATACGCCAAATAATTTCAATTAAAAATGATCATCATAATAATAATAAGATGGTGAATTGTATTAAATGCATATATTAGAGGAGAACAAAGAGAGAATAAAGAAGATGTTAGACAAAGTTGAACTTTCTGTTTCAAGTTATATATGACATAGCTTGGGTGGCAATGATACTATCACCTTATTTTCCAGAAGCTCCACGAGTTGTTCACCAAAGACTCTCTTTTATCAACATTGGCTAGTGTTCTTGCTCTTAAGCAATTAATGAGCTGTTGGTGAACAGAAACTAACAGATGTATTGTATGTAATAAATAATCATCTTTATCTGTCTTCGCTATAGAGTGTCTTTGAACCAACTCAATATGTATAGTAATAATGTTTATCTATATCTGCTATAGGTGTCTAACCAAATATCAATATTGTATATATAGTTGTAATATACATTATATTATTATATATATATTCATGCTGTTCCGTTTGAATATATATCATCAAATTGATTCCGCTTTTATGATAAGATTCTACATAGATATGATTATCTATCCTTTTACTGACAAGCCCAGAACTTGGATACATCTCATCTTCTTCTTGGGGAAGCGTTTATAGAGAATTTTATCAAAGAGAGAATTGGAGATCCAAAGGTTATTCTAATCATAAACTTCTATGCATTCTCTTAGATCAACTAATATCATGCTTCTTAGATTTTTCATGCGTGTTCACATATAGATTGCATTTTTCGCAACTTATATAAATAGATTTTAAGCATAGAGATTCAAATGTGTGTGTGTGTGTGTTTTTTTTTTTTTTTTTTTCAAAATCTATCATATGAGGAATCCGAAAGAAAAATTACACTTGAGCTCTTTCGTGTATTGTTGTTGCAGTGGGCTGGGAAGCAAGTCAGAAGGATGGAAAGCATATATGGCATATATCTCAAAAGGATTCAGGAATTCACAGAATTAGGAAATGGCTATGAAGCTTCAAAGAAAAATATGGTTCTTTATTTAACTCTCCGGCCACCACCGCATTAGCATATGCCCTATTACAAAAACACATTTGTCTTGATTATCTATTTTCAATGTTAGATAAATTTGGAAATGCTGGTAATTGATTCCTCCTTATTGCAAACTTTGATGGATTTGTCTTCTATGTGAAAATTATTAGGCTTTCAAACTAATATTTGCTTTTATATATATGAATCTATGCTTTATTCAATTCCAACGGCACATCCTTTTGATGTGTATACTCGACTCCATATGGTTGATAGTCTTGAAAAGTTGGGTATTGATCGTGATTTGAAGGAAGAAATTGGAGGAAACATGGAGGCAATTAACTTTGTGTATTTCAAAAGCTTGAAATTGAAAAAAAAAAAACTTTTATTGTGGAAACCAAGAAGGCTACAAAATTTAATCTCATTTTCTATTTGATTATGAAACAGATCGAATGTGGCAACGGGAAGAAGACCATATATTTTTAGAATCCTGACAAACTCAATTATTTTTATATATTTTGATATCTTTTATATGGATTTTGTCAATTTAATTAGTCCTTTTGACCTTAATTGATTGTTAATTGATTTAATATATTTTATTTTAAATTATTATTTTATAGGGGCAAAATTGTCATGTTTTGGTTTAATTGTGACTATTTGATTTTTGAGGACAATTAATGCTACCTTGTCCTTGAATTTGTTTGCAGGTTTTTGGAAGATTTAAAAATAAAATAAAATTAAAAAAAAGAAAATAAAGAAAATAAATAAATAATAATAATAATAAAAGGGGGGAGCAAAACATTGCATTTTGCTCCCATCCCTGATATCCAATAATCATCTTCTTCACCTTAGAGGCGAGACGAGCTGGACGGCGGCAAAGAAAATAAAAATCAGAGAGGGGGAGCAGAGTACGGGAGTAGAAGGACGAACTAGGGGCAAGACCATTGATGGCATTCTCTCCATTCACCATTCATCTTCTCTATGTCTTCTCACTGGTGGCAGAGAAGACGACGAGAAGGACAGGGAGAGATGCGAGGGTGCTTGCTGGTGGAACAAAAATAGCGAACCAGAGGCAACTTCATCACCTTCCTCTGTTTTCTCTGTGATTTATTCCTGGCAGCACGAATAGATCAGCGACAGTAGCGTGAACAGAGAAGAGCGAATAGCGATGGTAGAGTGGAAGAGCTTGACAGGAGGCATATACAAGCAGGAGTTGGACAACACTATTAGCATCATCTTCGGCTTCTTCTTCATTGTTTTTCCACACAATCACCAGTATCACTGTCTTCCTTATGGAACTTTGTAGCAGAATATTGATCACAGGAATTCTCATGGCAATCTGTGGCTAAGGTTCTATAATTCTCAAATTCAACAACAATGGCAGGAGCTTGGATCATCAAAGGGGAGTTTTAGTTACTTTAATTTCCTGTCTAATAATTGTTTAACAATTCCTAGCCTTAGGATAGTTATTGTGATTATTAAAAAATTTGTATTGTTTAATTTGATTATATTTAAGGATTATTGTGACTGGATTATTATTTAGCATTTGACATTGGGCTGTTTATAACTTTATTTCAATTATAATGTTGTGGTTATGACATTTGTATTGATTTTGGAGTTAATATATTGTGATTTTCTGAGGTGGCTTGGAATCTTAAATCATATTGTCTCTTGCTAGCTTTAATTTTGTTGTTTTGGATTTAAGAGTTCTAATTAAGCATTGGTTTTTAGCATCCTTAATCCCATTTTACTATTCTGGTTGTAGTTAGTAAGTTGGAATTTTAGGAAAACATTTTATGACAATTCGAGGTGGCTCGGTTGTTGGATTAAAATCTTAATTATAATTATAAATTCATTGTTTTAACTCTCGTATCTTTTGGAGTGAGGATTGCCTGCGTTGTTGAATTGGAGGATTGATTATTATCATTGTTATTTGTGTGTTTTATTTTCATTTCTTTAATCTTCATTCATTTTAATCATTTTTATATAAAAAGTATTTTAATTTCAATTTAA